AACATTTCAAAACCTGTACAGTTTTTCCCCCAAAATTTAACTTGGTCATAAACATTTGGAAGCCAGATTTCAGAGGCTGTGAGTATTGGTCAGGGATAGAGTGTTTGCCTAGCATGCACCTGGGCCTTGGTTTGATCCTGCACACTGCACAACAAAGTAACAATTTAAAAGCAACTCACTCAAATCTACTGTTCTGTCCACTCTTAGAAAGCAATCAGGTTTGGGAACGCTGCGCCACGTTCTTTCAGAGTATGAACCCACGGAAGCAGAAGGGGCCAGCAGGCTCAGGCAAGCTTGTTCTTACCACTTCCTGTTGTGCTACACTCACCTGCTTCAGGCCTGCACACCTGCAGGCTTCCTGTCTGGAGTTTAGGTCTTAGGTCGTCACCTCTGTTGTCAGAAGAGCTTCTCAAATATTTTCTGTGCAGGACCTTTAAGTTCGGGACAGTGACCATTTTTCTTGGGCTCCCAGAGCGGGCCAAGGTGGCCTGTCACAAGCCACAAATTTCTTTTATGGGCCTACATTGTGTTTTAAAAATGCAAATTTTGATATACAGTACATAATATACTTGTCTTGGTTTTTGTGTAAGCATATTCTCCCACCAAATCTTAAATGTAAAGCTGACATTGAGGAAGATGTGCCACATACATTCTGCGACCCCTGATAGTCCTCAGCACATTGCCCCATGAGCAGACTGATGCAAGCCTCATAGTTTAATAAAGACATGAGGCAAAGAGAGACAAAGACATGGAGATCCAAGAAGAGGAGAAGAACCTGAAAGATAATAGAATGAGTCTGAGTGATAAGATATCTTTCTGGTCCCTTCCCCAAGCCCAGCCTGGCCCTGTCCATCTCCTGAGAAGTTTGCAGACATCACTGATCTCTCTGGACAGGTGTTACGCTAGTGGCCCAGGTTGGAGAGAGACCCAAATAGGAGCCAGGCCAAGTAAGGGAGAGGTGAGGGGCCAAGAGCAGCCAAGTATGGTCAGACAGGAACGTTGTCCAGGCGCCAGGAGAAAGGCTTGGAGAAAGGAAATGGAGTACTTAGAAAAGGGCTGGTCAGCATTTGCTCTTTCTCCCTCAGACCCTGTTTTTGTCTCACTTCCTCTTACCATTCTTCTTGAGAAAAATGAAGGAAAATATTTAGCTTAGATGAGAGAGTTTTGTCTCCAAAATGGCTGTATCCTTGGTCATAGCAAAAGGGGTGTAGAAACAGGAAGCCCACCTAAGTTGGGAATACAGATTTAAGGCCTTTCTTATCTGGGAGAGAATAGGTGAAGTCCCATTTGGATAGGAAAAGAAGCCCCAGTACTTATCCGAGTCTCTTTCAGATCAGAAAGACCTTAAATCTGTATTTGCAACTTAGTTGGACTTCCCTTCTCCGTATCCCTTTTGGTAAGACAAAGACAGATCTAAGTAACCTCCTCCTATTCTAGTACGATCCATGCTGACCTGAGTGTAACAGAGTGTTAGACAAGATTTGGATATTTCCCCCTTCTTTACTGTGCATCAGGAGAAACAGAGTCACAGAATGGGGACTATCTAGGGAGGGGCATGGGACTCAGTTCTGAGGAACATATCCCACAACTGAGGATCCTGAGAGGGAGGAGGTTTGATAATGGATAACACAATAGTCCCAGACTCTAAGATCATGAGGACATTGGTCAGGATCAGTTGAGAAATCCTTGGATTCACCCACGAACCTCTTAGGTTTCCAAAGTGATAGACGTAGTCTTTTAGGTCCTGCTATTGGGTTGGGTCAGTGTCCTCCTACTCACTGCCAAGTAGGACTGCTGTGGGTGCGCTTTTTCCCTCCAGGTTACAAAGAGGCAAATTAAGCTTTGTTGGATAAGGCAAAGGCCTTTCTGAGGTGATAGCAGGAAACTGGAAATCCTTATTTCTAGATTTGTGATCCCAAGTGACCTTGTGGAAAAGGTGGACCTCAGTAGAGGAAAGTTCAACAGAGAAGAGGTCACTGCTGGTCCAGCCAGATTACCAGTGCTATTCTGGTCTAGCTCATTTATCTTCTCTGTCTTCCAGCCAGGAATGATATTTGAGGAAAGACAGAGGGGACCAACCAGCCCCTTCCTCAGTCAGAAATCTCTGGTGACCTGCTTGAGTCATGATTTACAGGTCATGACTTTGAACTCTGTTCTAGAGTTTTTCTCCTTCCTCACTAGTTAATGGGATTGTTGATCTCACTGCTACTCTGGCCGAAAGGGTTCTTGGAAATGACTGGCTAGATGCCTGAGGTATCTTTAGCTTGCCTGAGCTGAAAATAAGGTGGGAAAATCCCACAGGTGGAATGAGTTCAACGCAAGCTGGACACATCCTGCCTTTGTTCTCGAAACCATTTGGATTCTGGCAGGTGCATCCACATCAACCCTACTGTGTGAGTGCTAGAAGGGTTGCTAGTGGACATTTAATCCAAGTTCGTGTATCAGACATGAGGAAATTGAGGCATGGAGATTTGACACAGCTTTCCCAAGGACACAGAACTATGGGGTGGTGAAACTAGGACAATGAAAGGGTGCTTTTCCCAGTTGAGAGACAGTCCTTCCCCTTAACTTACTTCTTAACCAGCTGGTGCTTATAGGCCACCTTTCCTTTCTTCCAGAGTTCAAAGAGCAATGAAAATGAGTCAAAGAAATTGACTGTCTTTTCATCCCTAAACCATGAGTGCCCCTTTATCCACCCATCTAACCTCTGACTCTCTAATTCTCTCTGGTTTTCACTCCCAACCTAAACTGCATGTTGTTTCCAAATCTCTCATTCAGGCCTTCCTCAAGCTATTTGAGTCCCAATACCTGTTTGCAGGCCCCACTCCCAAGCTGCCTCCCCAAATCGGAGAAGATAGGCAGCCAGGGGTAAAAAAATGGGTGGGGAAGGACAGGATTCTTGTCCTAGAACTTATCCTGCCTGGGGCCAAGCAGCCCAGACTGTGGGTATGGGAACAATGTGTTCAACATAAACAGGCCCTGGCAGGCATGTAGAACAGAGCTGACAAGTACTTCGTGGATCTTCTGTAGACGTTTGTTAGCAGGGCCTCCACCCCAACGTCCCTACCTCTGGCAGTCCTCCAGACAGAACAGCAGCCCTGACCCTGTCCACTGAGCCTTGGAGGCTGGCTTCAGTGTGCCCACTCTGGTAAGTCGGTGAAAGGTTAATGGTCTACTTCATGCCTGCGTCGGCTTTGGAATCTGGGAAAGCTTCTAGGTCTCGTGTCTCTGGCTTTGTCCAGAAATGTCACCTGCCAGGAAAGGCAGGAAGCCAGGCAGAGCAGAGTCCAAGAATGGTTGGATCTTTCTGACATTTTTGTCTTTGAGGCAGTACAACTGATCCCAAGCGGTCATTCCAACCTCTATCCTACTTTCCCCCCTATTTTGTGGAAAAAGGATATGTACATGAAAGGAGGATAGGTGTGCTGTTCTGTTCTTTCTTTTTATCCTGAATCCTTGCTCCTGCTCTTTTAAATTCCCAGACTATTCCTTTAACATACATAATTGATCAGGTTAGAATTGGTGGGTGAGTGAGTGTGTGTGTGTGTGAGTGTTTGTGTGTGTGTGTGTGTGTGTGTGTGTAGGAGAGAAAAACAAAGGGAAAAATTTCTGGGTCTTTTACTTTCACTTTTGCTGATCTCTCCCCAGCTACAGTCATAGGTGAGGTATAACTATGGGAAACCCCTATGATGGGTGCCCTGGTCCCTCTACCCTCTCCACTCACACAAAATACTTTAGAGTTAGAAAAGGAAATGCATCAGTCATCACAAACTGCTCAATAACCCTGGAATGTTCTCCTTCTATTCCTGTTCCCTCTGTCTTTTCTTGGCTGCTTCTATTGTAACATTCACCACCACTTTTAAACTAGTCTTTAAAAAAAACAAAACAAACAAACAAAAAAATTAACTAGTCTTTTAAGGTGCTTTCCCTCAATGGAGTTGCAGCTCCACTTCATTCTTTACCATAGGGTCAGAAACACCTGGCCTTAGATTAGCAGTCTTTATCATTTGATACTGTAGGAAATTCAGTTGGCCAAAATGCAGCTGGGAAATTTCTTGAATGTTCTCCTACATCCCATCTTATGACTTTGAAATGCTCAATAGAGCCACTGTAGTAACATCCCAGAGATCTATTCATGCTTCCTTGTTCAGTTCCTATTCTGGACACGCAGTTTGTCCGTGACTGTTGCATGCCATGTGGCTGGAACCAATCAGCTCATCTAAGGCTTCCTCAGAAGCCAATCACAGCCTAGGGAAGTGACCTCACTCAAGGAGAGCTGTGTGGGCGAGAAAGCAACTCTCAGAACCCTGAATGTCCCTAAGTCACTCCCTTCCTTACTTCCTGTAAAGCAACACTGCCTGCCCCCTCCCCGAAGAAAAGGGAGTAAGAATGGCTAGCCAGATTCCACAAAGGGAAAAACCAGAACTTGCAACCTGGCTACATGCTGACTTGTGCGTGTGGAGCACAGGATATTTAGGGAGCTCCCTCCACATAGACTTACCTTTCAGAGTGGGGTGTGCAGGGCCTGGAAGAAGACTGAGTCAGCCGAATAAGTCAGCCCCTCCTCCCTCCCTGCACCTGGCTTTCTTGACTCTCCCCACAAAAATAGCTGTAATCATTCTGTGTAAATAAGGACATGATCAAGGTCAGGTGTGGGAAAGGGAAGGCCTGTGTCCTTGTGAACACACATACAGACGTGATCATGTTCCTTTGATCCGAGGACTAGAGGCTCAGAAGCCAGCTGGTCTGCGGGTGGCATGGGCTGTGCTCTACAACTCACTCCAAAGGGCCCTGCAAATGCATTCCCGAATGTCCCCTGGCAGGGCTACATTTTGAGTATGTGTCCCACTGTGGAGGAGGGAGGCGAAGGACAAAGGACAAGAAGGCTACAACCCCGTGTGTCACACTGGACTCTGCCCGGTGCAGAAAGAATGACTGAGCTGGGCATCCCCTTGGCCCTTCCTGCAGCCCTCTCCCTCCAGAATTCACCTTGGGCAAAAGACAGATAAAAACACTTTATTTAAAAAATATACAACTATCCCACAATGAATTTATTATGTGCCACAATAAAGAAGGGGAAAAAAGTCTTACTCCTCCGAATTCCCCTCACCCCCCAATTACATGCCCAAAAAGCTGTAAACGTTGGGAAGGAATGTGCGCAACTGTCTCAGCCCTGACAAGCCAGTTACCTGTGCAATGCTCTTTTCTCCCTTCATAGGATTAAGGCATTGACTCTTTCCCCTCCCCCAAAACACAAGAGGTGATGCAGGGGGAAGAGGAGGAAATAATGCCATTTGCCATCATTCTCCATTCCTGTCTCCAGGGACCAGGGAGGTTATCTGGACTTTGACCGAATGATGTTTTTTTGGTTGTTGTTCATAAAAGTAAATAATCGTTATTGTCTAGCTCTCAAATAAAGACAGATATGAGTGTTATTTAGGATTTTGCTTCAGTATATAGCCTCATCCATGTTATCATCACTGTCACCTCCAAAGTCCTCTCCATTGTCAAAATAAGACATGATGTAGTCAGTCTCCTGAAATGGAAGAAAGAAAGGCCATGCATGCTTCGGGCATCCTCCTCCTTCCCTCTGCACGAGGCCCTTCCCTCCCAGTCACATCATTCCAGGCCTGGGACACCCCTTACAGCTATTGTTCATTTTTGGGGATGGATGAGGTGGAGGGAAGCCCCTACCCTCAGGCAGCTCTATTTCCTTTGGCCCTGCAACCCTCTGAGGAGAGGTCTGGCTGAAGAAGAGGGAACCCAGAGCTTATGAGGGGACGGGAGGGGGGACTAGGGTGGAAGGTCCCTGACCTCTTCATGTTCTTCTTCATCATACTCCTCCTCTTCCTCTTCTTCTTTTTCTTCTTCTTCCTCTTTCTCTTCATCTTCCTCTGAAGTCACTTCTTCTTCCTTCTTCTCCAGGGTCTTAAGTCAAGATGAATAGGAAAAGATATGCCAACTCAGCTCACAGAAAGGGAAAACTGAGGCACACATGGGCCAAGGGACCGGGAAAGAATCTGGGGCCCAGGAGCTCTTCGCGTATGCAGCACTACCTGCTCACCTCTAGCTTCTGTATTGTTTCCTCCTTATCTTCTGTGGTCTTAGCGGGCCTCTTGGGGAGTAGAATGGTGGTCCCTGGTTGGCAGATGAAAAGGTAAACCGTCAGAGGCTTAGTTTCTTTGCTAGCTTTCTACTCCGTCCTGGGGGAAACAAACAAGCCACTTTGCTGCCCTCATGTGGCCATCACGGCGTCCAGCAACAACTCTAGGACGGTAGGAATTGAGAGGGGAGGGGAAGGCTCTTGAGATGCTCCTCCCTCTTTTCCCAGATACACTTACGCTCCTTCTGTAGCTTCCGCACTCGAATCTTTAGCTCCCGGGGTAGACGCCGCCAATCTGGGAAGAGTGACAATGTGAGTGTAAGACCTTCGGGGTTTCCGCTGAGCAACGACTGGTGAGAGGCGAGGTGAAGGTCTTAAAGGAGGGAAAGGATGGGGCTGGGTCAAAGTTGCTGACGCCTCTGGAGGCGTTGGGGCAGCTTAACATTTTCAGGTGGAATCTGAGAATGTTTGGAGCACATCTAAAGTTCTAATTTGCAGATGCTTCATGGGGCAGAGAGCATGGACATTTGCGGGGAGGTGGCATCACAAGTGTTTGAAAGCAGGCTGGTAAAGAAGGGACGCATCACTTACCAGGGTTCCAATCGATGGCATTGTCAATCGGCCCAGAAGTCTGATACTTGTCTGAGTAACGTTCCACATCTGAGGGATCAGAGGTCAACAGTCAAAGTCGTATCCTTCCAGATCCCTGGAACAGGGTTGTTTGGGGTCCACCCTTTTCAGTACCAGAAGCCCCAGAGCCCAGGAGGTCAGCTTCAGTGTATTTATCATTCTTCTAACCTTCCTTTTTTTGTTTTTTTTTTTTTGATACCAGGAATCGAACTCCGGACCTTGCACTTGCCAAGCAGGCGCTGTGCCGCTGAGCTATATTCCCAGCCCTAACCTTCCCTTTTGCCTCCCAGAATTCTGATGATTTTGCTATATCAGGACATAGGATGAAAAAAAAAAATAAAAAATAAAAAAAAATAGAATGGTGGCCCATGCCTGTAATCCCCACACTCTGGGAGGCTGTGGCTGGAAGATCACAAGTTTGAGCCCAGCCTGGAAAATTTAGCCACTTAAAAAGATGCTGTCTCAAAATAAAAAAGAGAATAAAGGGCTGGGGGAGGTAGCTCAGTGTGAAGCCCCTGGATTCAATCCCCATACTAGAGAAGGGGAAAAAAACAGGATAGGGTGGTACACAGGCAAGTTCTAGGGAATAAGAGCCCAGGGTTTCAGTCTTGTCTTTACTCTTTGGTAATGAGATTAATTTAGTAAGTCTTTCATCGGTCTGAGCCTTGGGCTTCCAGGATTTCAGCAGGAAAGCACCAGTTGTTGATATATCAAAACACTGCTGTTCTTCCACACCAGCTGTTAAATTACCCACTGTCCCAAGTCTCCCTCCCTCCTGGTCTCCCAGAGCTCCCTATGACCCAAGGAAAAGGTTATTTTATTCAGGTAGGGTGCTCAGAGATCCAGCACCAGTGCTTTTCTGATTGGTTGGGACATGTTAAGTTTTGTTAAAAATTTTAAACCTGGTATGATAGCATACGCCTGTAATCCCAGCACTCTGGAAGGCTGAGGGCAGGAGGATTGCCAGTTTGAGCCCAACCCAGGCAATTTAGCAGTTTAGCAAGAACCTGTCTCAAAATATAAAAAATTAAAAGTGCTGGGGATGTAGGCCAGTGTGAAGGCCCTGGATTCACTCCCCAGTACCCTTTCCTAAATTAATATATCCCCCTATGTATACATGTGAGATGAGTCCTTAACACTTAACTTCCTACTGTCCCAAGACTATTGTGAGACTCAAAATAAATCACAAATATTGTTATGCATTTCACATAGAGCAGTAATTGTTATCTCGCCAGTTAGTGCATTTCTGTGCCTCACTGGCCCGCAGCATTGCTGAGTACAGGCACTTCCAACATGATGGCAGCTGACCTTTCTTGGGGATAGCTGGCCGGATGAAGTAGGGGAGCTGCCTCATAGCCCCTCGTAGCTCCTGCTTCAGCGCCAGGACATATTCCCCTTCTTCTCCTGAGGGCAGAGGCACTGGGCGGAACTCCAGGGGCTAAGGAGGCAGAACCAGTGGTCAGTTCAGGGACAAAATGCCAGAGAACAAACACAAGAGGGCCTCTCCCCTTGATTTAGCCCAATGTTCCCACTGAGCAGAGAGCCAAAAGAGAGGAGGGTGGGATGAGATGACCAGTGCTTTGAAAGGTAGGGATCTGGGAGTGTGAGAAGGAAGGGTAAACACCTCTTTAGCCTGGAAACATGCCCTGTGAGGTGGGAAGAAAGAGACAGGAGGGGTAAGATGTGCATGGTAGTATGACGGCTGGGAGGAATCTGGGCTCACACAATCAGTCAGGGGCACACTGGAGTTTCAGGAAGGAGGGAGATATACTCACAGGGAAGAGTGGAGAAGGTTGCAGAGTGGGTGGAGGCAAAGCATCTCCCTTCCCAATGCCCACAGCTTCCATGTTGAAGGTCAGTTGGCCCCGGCCACGACCCCGGCCCCCACCCCGGCTGGCCATGGTGGAGGGGGCCTAGATATTCAGAGATACAGTGAGAAAAACCTGATAATGACAAAAACAAATAAAAAAAACTAGAAGAATCAGGAAGCCAAACAAACAGGAGACACTTCATCTTCTCTCCCTGACACTGGAAAAGCCAATGTCATTCAACAGATTTTGACTGAGAAGTGCCAGGCAGGATATTTCAGGAAGCGTAAACATGGATGAGACAAGGTCTCAACAGGAGAGAGAACTGCACTACCGAAGAGAAAATGATTAGGCTTTTAGGTAAAACCTCCCCAAGTCCCTAAGACAATCTGATGCTTAGCACTACCTATATTTCTACATGTAACTTTTGAATTCTCTCCCTGACCTTCCAAACTCAACCAGGGTCCTGATCAACCTAGTGCAGCTCAGCAAAACATTTTACATGAGAAAGGGAGCGTGTCAGACACTGTAGGGACACAGGAATGAGCCATAACCTTCCTGTCAACCAGGGGGAAAGAGCCATTATAATCAAATTGATCTTTTTGAACACTATTTGGAAGCACAGACTTAGAATTAGAAGGATCCTTAGAGGTCACTAATCCAAACCCTTCCCAGGGCAAGCTCCACTCTGTAAAATGTTTATTCAGCCTCTGGTAGCGCTTTCCTAACGTGAGGGTATCCACTCTTCTCCTGAGGCAGCCTCTCCACTGTGAACAGCCCTGCTGTATTCCAGTTCCTCTTTCTCTGCCCCTTGTTATCAATCCTGAGCAGCCAGTCAGAGACAGCTGGGTGGAGGAATAAAATCACCAAATGAAAATGAAACCTGAAAGGCACGATATTCCAGTAGCAGTGAACACACTCAACAACTAGGCCTAGTTTTTAATATCATTTTCCAATAAAGACAACCAGGGCTCCCTGGATAAATGGCTGCTTCTAGGAAAGGGAAGGAAATATACAAGATGAGCCTGGAACATCTCAAGGTGCCAGAAGAAAAGGAAGTGCTCAAAACAAGCAAACTCACCCAGCTGATGGGGCCTTGTCACAGGCTAACTAAAGGAGCTCCTAATGGTCAAAACTGGAAAACTTTGAGCAATAAAATACAGTGTTGGCTGGGTGTAGTGGTGCACGCCTGCAATCCCAGCACTTAGGAGGCTGAGTCAGGAAGACTGCTGTGAGTTCGAGTCTATCCTGGCCCACAAAGTGAGTTCAAGGCCAACATGAACTGCATAGTGAAATCTTGTCTCAAAAAGACAAAAAAAAAATGTTATTAGATTAAAACCTCAAAGTATAAAATGAATATCCATGAGTCTACAGTGATATAAGTGATTGAATAAAAAATACATGGAGGGAAGAAAGCAAATCTCTTGTGCAGAATTCCAAGTAAATTATGTAAATATTCCAGCCAAGGTGGAAACACATGCCTATAATCCCAGTATTTGGGAGGCTGAGGCAAGAGGACTGTCACAACTTCCAGGCCAGCCTGGGCTTCACAGTCAGTTCAAGGCCAACGTGAACTACATAGTGAATCCTCAAAAAAATAAAACAAAAAAATAAATGACATTTGAAGAGTAGAGATTTATAAAGTCTGTCAGAAAAGAGAGGTTGAGCCAGGCCCAGGGCACATGCCTATAATCCCAGCACTCAGGAGGCTGAGGCAGGAAGATCACTTCAAGTTCCATATCAACCTGGGCTACAAAGTGAGTTCAAGGCCAGCCTGAACTGCATAGTAAAACCTTGTCTCAAAAAGACAAAACAAACAAACAAACAAACAAGAAAAACCACCACCAGAACAACAAAAAAACCCCAAAAAACAAATTCAAGCTCTGCTGGCCAACCTGAACTACATAGTGAGATCCTGTCTGAAACAAAACAAGGCTATGAGCCTGGAAGTTGGACAGACCTATTTCCAAATACGAAGTGTGTGAACGTTAAGGATTCGGGTTGTGGGGACAAAGTTTCATTTAACCTAGGCAATAAATTACTGGTTGGAAACAATAAGGCATTCATCAACCCCTCTCAGCTCAGGAATCCACACATCTCTGCTATTTCTGACTGTGACAGAGTCTAAACTCTTGAGGGTATGTAAGGTCTCCGCTACTGTGGTCCCAATCTGCACTTCCTTAACAATTGACCTTCTCTAAGTGTTTGCCCTGCATTCTGCTTTTCCCCAGACAGCATCTCATATACACTATACTCATACCTGTGCATTGTGGCAAGGTGAGTTTCAATGAAACAAAGAGAAAAACACTCACGTACACATCAGATTGGAGGAAGGCACTACCCATAGTGGGTAAAAACATGGATTTGAATCACAGTTCTGCCATTCCCTAGCTACACAAATTTTGGAAAATTATCTCTAAACTTCTTTCCTCATCTGCAAAACAGGAATAATAATAATGCACTTTAATTCATTCAACAAATATTTATTGAGTAGACCTCTCATGTCTGAGCACTGTTCTAGGTGCCAGTGACACAGCAGTGAGCACCAAGGACAAAAATGCCCTGCTGCACCATCAGCTTTAAAAGTGCTTCACATTTTTTGGTGGAGTCATCAGCATGTAAATAATAGTTCATGTCTTAAGACTGGATGAGATCTCGGGGTTGATTCAGGGACTAAGGGCTGGAGTACTCTAATTTTTACAGCTGCTATATTTGTAATATATAAGGCAGGAAATTAATGCTTTTATTATATTAGAACTTTTGGAAGTCTAAATGAAAAAAGAAAGCCACTCTAGTAGAAAAGGTGAACAGAGTAAATGAATAGGAAATTGACAAAAGAATAGCCAATAAAACCACTCTATACCTATAAACTTGACAAGGATTTAAATAATAATCAAGATGTTGTGATTTTTTTTTCCAGATGGACTCTCACACCTCACTGAAAAGACTATAAATACAATCACAATTTGATCACTTGATTCAATAGCCTTTTTACATGTTTGTATCCTTACTACGGTAATCCTACTTTTAAAATCTATGCTAAAGAAATCATCGGATATACAGAGATATAAGTACCAGGATGTTTATCAAAGAGCTATTTATGGTAACAAAAATTCTGAAGTAATTTAAATGGTTCAATAATAAATGGATGAGCCGGGCACAGTTACGCACACCTCAGTACCCAAGAGGTTGAGGATCACCACCAGTTTGAAGCTAGCCCAGGGTACACAGAGAGTTTAAGACCAGCCTAAACTACACAGTGAGATCCTGTCCCCTGAAAAACCATAATAATAATAATAATAGTAAATAGATGGTTAAAAAATCAGATAACCAGCCAGGCATGGTGGTGCATGTCTGTAATCCCAGCACTTGAGAGGTGAGTTCGAGGCCAGCCTGAACTACCTGGAAGACCCTGTCTCAAAAAATGAACAAAACCAGGCATGATGGCACATGCCTGTAAACCTAGCACTTGGGAGGCTGAGGCAGGAAGATTGCCATGAGTTCAAGGCCAATCCAGCCTACATGGTAAGTTCAAGGCGAGTCTGAACTACATAATGAGACCCTGTCTCAAAAAACAAAAACCAAACAATTTATTTATTATTTTAGACTATTATGGAGCCATAAAACTCATGACTTCAAATAATACTTAAAGGCAGAAAAATGTCCATTGTATAGAAAATGTTAACAGAGTTGAGAAAAACATGATATAAGAATGTATTTATTATATAGTCCTATTTATGAATAATATACAGATACAGAACAAAGACAGTAAAAAATACATATCAAAATATTAATAATAGGGGCTGGGGATTTAGCTCAGCGGCACAGCTCCTGCCTGGCAAGCGCAAGGTCGTGAGTTTTGATTCCCGGTACTGGAAAAAAAAAACAAACCCAAAAACCAAAATATTAATAATAGTTATAACTACATTAGGGTTGTGACATAATAGACATTTTCCTTTATATGTTTATGTGTTTCCAAATTTTCTGAAATAAGTAAATATTACTGCTATAATCACCAAATAAAAGGGCTGGGTTGTTTTTAAGAATGGTATAAACTGGGAGTGGTGGCACATGCCTGTAATGCCAGCACTCTGGAAGGCTGAGGCAGGAGAATCCCAAGTTCAAGCTCAGCCTGGACAACTAAGTAACTTAGCAAGACCTTACCTTGTAGCAGAAGACGCCCTACCCCAGCCAGTGTACTTCAGCTTGTTAGTTGCCCAGGTCAGTTACAGTTCCTGTTACTTTTGTTTCTTAGAAATGGCTGGTCACTGTGACGCAATATTGTAAGAACCAATCCCCAACTGACAAGCCATTCTGCCTCTGTACTTCCTGCTTGCTTTTCACATATCAACCCTAGACCACCAGAGATTGAGGCCAGATATTTTGGGAATGATCCCAGTCAGTGCCTTCCCTCATAAAATAAATCTGCCTCCAAGTCCTGGACGTTGTTTTGGTGTTTCTGCTTGCCGTTGCAACCTCAAAATAAAACATTTAAAAATGTCTAAGGGAATGCAGCTCAGTGCAAAGGCCGTGGGCTCAATACCCAGTAGTGGGAAAAAAGGAGGGGGTACAAATATACCTCCCTCTTTCATAAGGGAAGTACAGAATACATTCCATTAATATTTATTAAGATTTCATTTTAAATATTTGTTGGATACTAACTAAAGAACATATATCCCAAAATGGAATGATCTGCAAAGAGAGAATAGTGAGTTCTCTTAATAAAGAGGACATGGGCAGGGGTGCAGCTCAGTTGTAGAGTCCATGCTTAGCATGCATGAGGCCCTGGATTCAAACTCATCACCAGAAAAAGGAAAAGAAAGAAGTTTACATAGAAGCTGAATAACAGTGTATTAAATAGGATTGATCAGAGAGAGAAAAGCTGTGTGGTTAGAGCAGAGCTCACTGTGCTTCTCATTGTCTAGCATTATATCTGGCATATGGAAGGTATTTGATAAATACCTGTTGAGTGAATGAATAAATTCATGATTTCTACTAGCCTTCCAAACCTGAGATCTGGCGATTCATAAAGCCTTCCCTCCAGTTCTCTTTGCTTTCTTCCTTCTCTGGATTATAGAAGCAAATCATGAAATAACACATTTTAAACCACTAGTTTAAGTGCTCTTAATTATATACTGTATTGTCTTTTATTATTCTCCAATTACATTAGTTTATATTCTGCCTCCCCAACAAAAGTGCTGGTTTCCAGAAATCAATTCTCTTCAATTAATACTTATTGGGTACTATGTGTCAAGTCCTAAAACCGGCCCTACAAACCTAATGTTTTAAGAACTATGAAACATTAGAAGAGATAGTTCACTCTAAATTCTCTAATAGAGATACACATAAAATGCTACCACCAAACCTAGCATGGTGCCAGTAATCTCAGCACCCAGGAGGCTGAGGCAGGAGAATCCTTGCAGCAAGGCCAGCCTGGACTATACAGTGAGAACTTATCTTAAAAACAAACAAACAGAACAACGCATCGTCAGAAAGGGTAAGAATTTTGCAAAACATGAGGTCCTGGAAAGCTACAGGTAGGAGATATGCAGCTGAGTCTTGAGAGATCACAAGAGTTTGTCAGGCTCTTAGGGTGATAACGTTAACAGATCGAGGCGAGGCTGATGCCACAGCAAAGAGAAAATGTGCAAGAGCAAGCCTTTCTGATTTTCTGCTTCAATCTCTCCCTTGATGCGTGATAGAAAAATCTGATCGATACAGCAAGGGGAGCCCAGGGGAGAATAGGTAGGGAGGCAGAAGGGGACTGATCCAACAGGCTGCCGGAAGGCGTGGTCTATCTTGCAGTCCGTCTCAGGTGAACTAGTTCGGAAAGTGTGAGACCGAACCAGGTCACAGGCACCAGGTCCGAGACTTACCTGCTGCCCCTCCCCCACACGGAGCCCAAGGCGAAGCCAACTCGAAATTTGCTTCTCTTCCTCAAGCTGGCGGCGTCCTAGGCCCGCCTCCCAGGGCTCCCTATTGGTAGATTCTCCCAGCCAATCTAGGAGGAGCGGAGGAGGGAGGTCCGCCCACTTGAAAGCGCAGGAGCAGAAACTAGGAGAGAGCCCGCCGGAACTAAGGCTGGAATCCGCTGGGCCGAGAGAGATGGGGTTGCAGATCACCAGGGGTCCGTTATTTGCACCTCACCTCTGTTGGAGAAGGTCCGGCTTAGCAAGAGTTCGCGGAGAGAACTTGACACTCAGTTCTTACAGAGATCTGTTAAAGGTAGAGATCTGTTGAAGGAGACCCCTCCACCCAAGAGGGGCTAAAAGAGGAGAGCCTCTCTCTGCCTTGACAGTTTGGCCTCTTTTCCATTATAACCTTCCCTTCAATTCCACACCGTCTTCTCCAGCACCACCAATGGATACTTATAAAAATGATTTTCTGTGGGTTGCTGCCGTGTCTGTGAGAAGATGGGAAGAGGATGGGGGAAGGATTGGTTATCAGAGAAGAGGAGTTGAGGAGGCAGGGCATGAGCCCAGTGTTTCCTGCATTGCCCACTGCTTTTAGGTCCCTCCAAGCGCCTGGGTAAGAGGGACAGGGTGGAAGGAGGAGTCCTATTTTCACAGAATACAGAGGGAAGGAGTGCAGAGGGAAGATAAAATCCAGGAGTTAGTCAACAAGAGTATCCCAGCTGTCAGAAGAAAATGACTTGTAGCCTGGGAGGTATTATGGCAGGTGGAATAGGACAAAGACATAGATGCGAAGCTTTGGAAGTGTCTTCTTGGCTGCTGGCCTGCAGCCTCTGAATTTTCTAGGACCATAGGTGATCCTTCCAAATCCTAAGGATTTTCCTCATCTCCCACTTCCCTTCTTGCCTTCCAGCTGGACACACTCATTCCTAAAATATGCAGATGAAAGCTATGGTAACCATGGAGACAGGTTAGGTGGCAAGGAGAGGCAGAGACAGTGAGAGGACAAGGACAAATAGGAAGGGAGAAGGCATAGGGACGATTCGTACAGGGTCCTCGAATAGGATAACAGGAATTAATCCAAACAAGAGACAGCTAAGAGAGGCAATGGGAGAGGCTGTGTAACAAGGTTCGCTTATCTCCCTTTTCCTTCCCTTCCCTCGCCCTCCCATGGGAAAGAGACACCTGGGAATGCCCCTTGGCCTGTTTAAAAATGCCAGAGGATACTTACCTTCTTCACATTTATCTACAAGGTCTAAATGAGGGAACCCAGGTCCAAGTTTCTCTGTGATGTGTATGTATTCTGTTCTGGGAAAGGGGGGTGGGTGGGGATGTATTGCTGTATCTGACTCCAGCTGGACCGTGCTTTCCCTGATACCTAAATTACAAGCAGGCAGCCAGCTCTCCCGCCTCTCGCACAGTGTGGACACTGATGTGGATCCCAATCCAATCGCCTCTCCACACCCCTTGGCACAGTGTGCCACAGGCCGTGTGTGGCAGTCAGGTCTGGCACACAGGAACGCATAAATGCACCAAGTGCCCGGAATGGAGGTCTGCGGGAGCTCAGTGAAGAATCTGGATGTTCCCTGTGTGGGTCGCCAAGGAGTTCCCTAAGGAACGCCTAGGTTTGTTGGGACTGAGGGGAGGTCAGCTGAGAAAAGGGAAGGCAGGATTGTATCCTCTAGGTATTTCAGGGTTTCTGTGTGCTTTGGTGGGGAGCGGTTTGGTGCCTGACGCCCCCACCCGCAGAGGCTGGGCTATAAATAGCACAACAGAGCTCCGCCTCCCCCCCCCCCAGCTTCTCTCCTCCCGAGCCGGCGCTGTGCCCGGGGCGCACCGGGAGGAGGGACCAGGATCCGGTGCCCGGGCGCTGATACTGACACCAAGGGAATCTGGTTGCCCCCCCCAAGCCATGTGGACCCCCAGGACTCTGGCTCCTCCACCCCGGCTGTCCCATGACCCCGGCCTCAATCCTGGTCAGGCAGAGATTCTGCGGATGTTCAGGTATATCTATTTGGGTGCACAGCCTGGGAGGGGAACGAGCAGGGAGTGATGGGGCACATAACAGAGGGGGAAAAAAATTCCTTCACCGCTTTTGGGTTCCAAACGCAAGTTGCTTCCTTCCCCCTATTCAATTTTTGGGGTTGTAGCAACCTAAAAGCGGTTAGAAATGGAAATGTATGTGTGACTGTAGGGTGCATGTGTGTGGGTGGTTGATGTTCAGCATCCTAGAAAGGGGGATTCCAAGTGTGGTTAAGAAAAGGGGGATGCTGGAAAGGTCTGATAAGCCGTGGGGTGAGGGTGGGGGTGCGAGTCCTGCGCGTGCACGTACGTATTTGCACGCGCACTCATCCTTTAGTGCGGGCGCACCCTTCCCACCTCTTTCGGCATGCGCTGGGGGGAAGGGGTGGCTCAAAGGCAGGAGGAGTTAGAGGAAGGACTGTGCGCAGTGGAGATCTCCCTCGTCCCACTCCGGGTGCCTCCTGCCTCAGTTTCCCTGCGGAATCCGTCAATGAGATCTCTCTCTTTCTCGCAGGGATAGGCTTCACCTCTGAGATCTCAGGCCTCTGCCAGTCACTGCTCCCAGACCCTTAGCCACCCTCGGCAGGTCCCAGTCCCTGCTCGATCGGTGCTCTCCACCCAGCCGCAGCTATGCTGCACACCGAGGGCCACGCTCTTCTTCGGGCTGTGGGTCAGGGTAAGCTACGCTTGGCCCGTTTGCTTCTGGAGGGAGGAGCCTACGTGAATGAGGGTGATGCACAGGGGGAGACTGCACTAATGGCAGCCTGTCGGGCCCGATACGACGACCCCCAGAACAAGGCGCGCATGGTACGCTACCTCCTGGAGCAAGGCGCGGACCCCAACATCGCAGACCGCCTGGGGCGCACGGCGCTCATGCACGCTTGCGCCGGGGGTGGGGGCGCCGCAGTGGCCTCGCTGCTCCTTGCCCACGGCGCAGACCCCTCAGTCCGAGATCACGCAGGCGCCTCGGCACTTGTCCACGCCCTGGACCGCGGGGACCGCGAGACCCTCGCCACGTTGCTGGATGCCTGCAAGGCCAAGGGCACGGAGGTCATCATCATAACCACCGATACCTCGCCCTCAGGCACCAAGAAGACCCGTCAGTATCTCAATTCCCCACCATCCCCGGGGGTAGAGGACCCTGCTCCTGCTCCTTCTAGCCCGGGGATCTGCACGTCGCCTTCAGAGATCCAGTTGCAGAGTGCAGGAGGAGGACGACGACTGTTGTCCCCTCGCGCCCAGGAAGAGGAGGAGAAGCGGGACGTGTTTGAATTCCCTCTTCCTAAGCCCCCTGATGATCCCTCCCCTTCTGAGCCTCTCCCCAAACCACCTCGACACCCCCCTAAACCACTCAAAAGGCTCAACTCCGAGCCCTGGGGCCTAGTGGCTCCTCCTCAACCGGTTCCTCCTGCAGAAGGGAGGCCGGGGATCGAGCGCTTGACCACCGAATTCAACGGCCTGACCCTGACGGGGCGACCCCGTCTTTCCCGACGTCACAGCACCGAAGGGCCGGAGGATCCGCCCCCATGGGCGGAGAAAGTGACTGGTGGGGGTCCCCTCTCGCGCCGGAACACTGCGCCCGAGGCTCAGGAGTCTGGTCCCCCTTCTGGGCTAAGGCAAAAACTGAGCCGGATGGAGCCGGTGGAGATGGACACCCCCGGACATCTTTGCCCAGACTCGCCCGAGTCCAGCCGCCTATCTCTGGAGCGTCGCCGGTACAGCGCCTCCCCGCTGATCCTCCCTCCAGCCGGCTCGGCTCCCTCCCCGCGCCAGTCTCAGGAAAGCCTGCCGGGAGCTGTCTCTCCTCTGAGTGGACGCAGGCGGAGTCCCGGGCTGCTGGAGCGGAGGGGCTCGGGGACGTTGCTTCTGGACCACATCTCGCAAACGCGGCCGGGTTTCCTGCCCCCGCTCAACATCAGCCCCCACCCTCCGATTCCTGACATTCGCCCCCAACCCGGAGGTCGGGCGCCTTCACTGCCCGCTCCTCCCCACGCCGGGGTGCCGGGCTCTCCCAGGACCAAGCGCAAGTTGGTGAGGCGCCACTCCATGCAGACTGAGCAGATCCGACTTCTAGGGGGCTTCCAGAGTCTAGGCGGGCCAGGGGAACCAGGGCGCTGAGAGAAACGGAAAGAGCCCAGCAGAGATCAGGACTTTGATGGGATAGGTGGGAGAACGAGCTTATATTCATATCACGGACATAGGGGTCTCTTGCATGTGCTCATGGCACGGTGCACGCACACAGGGGTAAACGTGTCCACAAGCACAGTAGACTTACTAGAGAGGAAGAGCAAGTACAGGACTCTGTTTGTGGTATACAGACACAAGTATTCATGCCCTGGTCATTTAACATGCATGTGGGATTACTTGTGTACCCACAGGCACAGTGCACCAGTAAACTCACAGAACTTGTGCTAGAGTCCCAAACTCACTGACACTATGGGGTACTCTCTTGTGTCTATGGCCCCCCTGCAGAAGCAGTCCCTTGCTTTCCATGTACGCCCTACAACACAGCCTATCATGATTTTGCACACTCTACTTTGTTTTCATGAATGTCCCACCCATTCTACAGGTCTTGTTCCTCTCCCCAGGCCTGGCTCTTTTTTCCCCACCCTGCTTTGAGCCCTTACCACTTTTCCGGACATCTTCACTCTCCCAGGGGGTCCTGCAGCACTCCCAGCCTCAGTCCTGCTGCCGCCCTTCTTGCTTTTTATTCTCTCTGTGTTCCTCCAAACACTACAACTGGTTGTCTCCTTTTCGTAGAGGGTGGGTCATGGGCTCTAAGCTGCTCTTCTGTCTGTTTGAGCTTATGAACACCCCCACAGGTACAAGTGGGGAGTAACCCTAAATCACTCCTCTCTCCACTTGACATATCAAATAAATGTGTTCAGAAGCCTCTGTTTTGTCACTTCTGCCTGGAGGTGTGGGGTGTGGGGAGCAAAGAATGGGGCACGAGGATACTGACAGCTACCGTGATCTAAGGGGATAGACATTACACCTACTGTACCTTCTTTCCGGGATACCAACTGATCAACTGGTTGGAGAAAAAAATCCAACTACCCTGTGTCCTGAAGGCTTTAAGGCATGTGACAGGGTTTAATTTCCTCCAGTCTCCCCTATGCCCACCCTTACTTTTAAAGATTCCTGGAGAGTCCCACCCTCCACCATCTCTGTAGATTAAATGTCCCTCTTTCAAGCTTCCTATTTCCTTTTTTGCTTGTTTGTTTGTTTTTTGGTTTTTTTCCGGTACCGGGAACTGAACTCACGACCTCGAGCTTGCCAGGCAGTCGTTGTGCTACCGAGCTAAATCCCCAGCTCCAAACTTCCTATTTCTTAACTACTCCGTTTTAGGGTCTAGTTTTCATTTCACCTGGTGCATTTCATCTATTCTTCTGTTTCTCACCTCACATTTATCACCCCATCTTTGATTTTTGAGCTGCTGTGGGAGTGATGAGGGCAATTAGTATAACTTAAATAGCCTGGGTGTGGTGGTGCTTGCCTATGATCCCAGTATTCTGGAGGCTGAGGCAGGAGGATCGCTGGAAGTTGGAGGCCAGCCTGGTCTATACAGTGTATTCAAGGCCAGCCTAAACTACACATGAAACCCTGTCTCAAAAAACAAAACAACCAACAAACAAACTTTACCTAAATAAAAATAGCTCAACAGTCAACTGACAAAGGGTGTGTAATATGTGTGCATGCATGCCCATGTGTGTGCTAATCAGAGGAACCCAGTTTGGCAAGTTCTATAAACAAAGTTACCTTTTTAAATCTGCTCCTTGAATTTTTCACTTTGCTGGTTTTCTGCATATATTCTAGCTCTTTCTCATTTTAATGAAATAAAGGGAGCCATTAATGCTCCTCTCTCTTACTTCATTCTTTAGAATAGATGAAGTCAGAAAATTACCCAATAATGTGGCATAGTGAAAAGATGAAAATATTGGAAATCAGAGCACCTATATGTACACACACACACACACTGGGTAATCTATTTAATTTTGGGCAAGGTAGCCTGAGCATCAGTTTCCTTATTCATAAAATATAAAATCTGATTCGTGACTGTGATTGTTAAATAAGACAATGCACCAAGATATATTGCATAGTATATGCTCATCAAATATGAGTATCTTTCCCTGCTTTAGCTCTACCACCGATTGCCATGTGAGCCTAGACAAGTCTCATAACTTCTCTGAGGCAGTTTCCTCATCTACTTATATAAAATAAAGTGGCTGGACAAATCATCGCTCTGTCTACAATTCTCTCCAGCCCTGCGTCCAAGGCCGTTTTTCTTCAAGCCCCTCCCCAGGGCCTGCTCGGCTTTCCACTGCTAGCCACAGATCTCTCAAAGATGATGCCCTGAAGCTGCGCTGCCCCTTACGGAAGCCAACGCCTTTTCTGCTCCGGATTGGTTCTCCGAACCGCCACCTTTTTCTATAATTAGCCTATGGTGGCCCGGGAGCCCGCCCCTTCCCGCCCTCTCACTGGTGATTGGCATCGGGCCCCTGCTCGTCCCCGCCCCCTCTTGACTGACGGCGAGGCCCCGGCGCCGCCCTCAGTCCGCGGGCGCTGGCTGACGCGGGTGGCTGGGACCGTTAGCTCGCCAGGCTGGCAGGCTCCCGGCCCTACTCCGCCGGCGGCCGGGATGGAGACGATGCGAGCTCAGCGGCTGCAGCCCGGAGTGGGCACCGGCGGGAGGGGCACTCTTCGGGCGCTGCGGCCCGGGGTGACGGGGGCCG